CCCAAGGGAACTGTAGAATTTTGCGTTTCCACCTCATGTGACCATTGGTCCTCACAGACCCCACAGGTAGCATTGGTCCTTGCAGTTCCCCCTCAGGTGAGGGCTGTAAACCCCCCACCCCGAACCCAGAGCTGCACCTGAATGAGGTGGGGTGGGGTGGGAAGGGCTGCAGTGCCTCTGGGTGCTGCACTGAGTGAGTGGGCACCAGCACCTGCTGGGCTGGGCCAAAATGCCTGAAGAGACCTCTCGAAACAGCTGGGTGTTTGTGTGTGTATTATTGTAGGGTCTGTTGCAGGCTGTGAACAATCACTTGCGGACGCGTCCCCGGTACTGGGTGTTTGGGTGTGTGTTATTGCAGGGTCTTTTTGGAGGCCATGTACATGACCACCTTTTCTTAGCAGGTTTGCTCACTGGCTGCATCTGCTCTCCAGGTTTGGTGGGTGAGCTTCATCCTGCCATGTCCCATGAGTGCTGCAGGGTGTTTCACTCCATTTGGGAGATGAATTGCCCTGTGTGACTGGCTGATGCTGAGGCTGCAGGCTCCCAGCCCCAAGGTGAGCCCTGTCTGCAGCTGAAAGTTTCATTTGTCTGTCCTAGCTCAGCAAGGGCTGGGAGAGACTCAGCATCACTCCTGCCGCAGAGAGATCCTTGAGCCCCATGATACTCGCAGGTGACTCTGGCTATCAGGGGAATTCAGTCCTACCTGCAGCACTGTGGTTCACAGGGTTTGGCCAGAGGACGACAAGCCCTGGTGGGGTTGTGGTGGATGTAGCCATAGGCCAGCCGGGTTGTCTTCTGACTCAGCTGATGGTTGGCTTGCACACAGCTGCCAGAGACTTATCCTGTGAAGCTTTGCCAGTAAGCTGTCCTGTGAAACCAAACCTTTTGAAGCCGCATGTGGTTGAGTGCGTGGTCGATTGGGAGCATGAACTAAATTGGGAGCATGAAACTATTGGGAGCATGAACTAAATTGGGAGCATGAACTAAAGTCCCAGTACTGGGACTGGGAGAAATTGCCACTGGGCATTGGAGTGCTCTAAAGAGCCTCAGTGGGTGCATGTGGCAGTGCCAGGAGGTAAGAGGTAATCATGTGTAATGAGTAAAGAGGTCTCAGACTTGTATCCTTGTCTGCTTAGCAAACTGAAAGAGGTCAGGAGACCTTACATCTCTGAGTTGAGGTGATCTTGCACTCGGCAGTGCCCAGAATTTTGTCGAAGCATTAAAAGGTAGAGTTTTTGTCCCAGTGAGGGTGGTGGAAGGACACAGGGGCTGTTGGCTCCCTTCTGGCTAAGATTCTTTGCTCAGGATGGAGTTCCTGGACTCTGATTCTTCCATCTGCTGGTGCTTCCTGAAATGAGAGGGGGACAGCTCATGGGAGCTCCATGGGAGAGACTTTGTGGGGGTGTGGATAGCAGCTGGCAGGGCTGGAGCAGGACCTTTGCTGCTAAGTGCAGCAGTACCCTGGGTCATTTCCTCTCCTCCTCTCCCACTGCTGCTCCGCAGGGCAGAAGGGGCCTTACCTGTGTCTCCACACCCAAAGTGCCATGATGGCAGCCACCACCACAGCTGCCAGCAGCCCGGCCCCGAGCCCTGCAATCAGCACCACATCTGAGGTCCCTGATAAACACGAGCAGAGTCTGCCATGAGCTTTCCTAGCTTTGCTCCATCCCACGGGGCGGGGCAGGGCAGCTCAGAAGCCCCATCCCTGTGTCCATGGGTGGCACCTACCCCCTGGGATGA